TTTTTTAACCACATTAACAGATTTTCTTGGAAAGCATCACTAGGTTTAGACACACAGCTTCTTGTTCACGCTTACCTGCATTGTAAAAGACGTCTGATCAACCGAAAAGCCTTTGGATGCTGCAATTTTATCCACAATGACTGTCGTTGTTGCATCCTCGGTGGGATTTTCGATTCGTAAAGGCAAAGATTTTGATAATCCCAACTTGATCGTCCCAAACGACACGAAAGGACACTTGGAGAACTGAAGCAAACTCAGCACAGGAATTGAAGAGTTGTTTTCCTTGCCGGGTTTATCGCGAATACAATGAGAATCAAATGTTGGACTAAAGTCCAAACATTCCGCTTTCGCGACTTTAAACGACATGTTTTTAACTCATCTAAATGAACGACTATTCAGTACATCCACATGTTGGCGATGGTGAGCTACAATGCCGTTTAAAACCAGAGTGCGTGGTCGAACGTTTGAATTTGAGGACAGACCAGGCGGCCAATCAGTTCATTGCAGCTGATAGAATTGTCCAATCACTGGAAAGAAAAGCAAACGCAAACCAATCAAAGTTCTAGGATTCTTTAAAAATCTGTAGACACGCCCACAATGCAGGAAGCTGCTTCATTGCACGTTGAAATGTTGTTGAGGCACGGCTGTTGTGTAAGTTGTGTTGCGGTTATTGCATGCATGCACCTGTATGTCATTTGAAGAGTAAAGACGCCAGCCTGTGTATTTGTCCACAGCACACGTTTACAAAATAAGATCCTCAAAATAAAACAATTTCACGAGAATATAATAGCTACTTATTTGCAATAGCTATTAGCGTTAGGTCTGTTTACATTTCGTTTTACACAGCCATGTGATTTTTTTAGCTGCAAATAAGAAAGGAAAGTTTGTTTTGAGGGGTTTATTATACAAAAACTGGTGATATATTCATATATTCATATGTAATGCCAAGGTTTATGCTTATCTAGGCCTGTTATATTTCTACTTTTTAGTAGTTCTGAAATGTGTAACTCAAGGTAAATAATCATTTAAAATTATTATTATGACTATTATTATAGTAATTGCCTATTATTATTATTTAGGAAATTATGATTTCTTATATTTACACCTTATTATAAAATGCATATGTGATATTTCTTTGCTTTTTAGAAGTAGACTATGTAGAATTGCCAGATTAATTATTATTATTATTATTTTTATAGGGATTCCCTATTTATTATTTTCTTATTTTTGTTCTGCTTTTCATTATAGGCCAAAATGGAAAAAAATTATCTATATTTTTTCTGTTTAATGAATTAATTTTTATTTTAGTCCTCATTTAAAAAAAAAAAAAAAAACGCATAAATTGAGGGGAAAGAAAGACTATACAAAAACAAAATAATAGAGAATTGTGTGGAGAGTTATTACAAACCGCAGGGGGAAAAATGACAGATTCACCAGTGCACAAGGTTCATGGCAAGTGAGCTAGTTGTTTAAACTCTAGCCGGAAGGCATTGCACAATCTTACCCAAGAATCCTGGCAGATGGCATGGTCTTTTTAGCATTAAATAAGAGCTTTTTGAGTGAAGTCGTTAGACTGGAGTGGATGGAAGGCCATGATTGCAAGAGGGTGAAAAGCACTGCGTAGCTGCATTTTGTCTGCTGTTCCTTATTTAATATCCAATGTTATCATCCACTGCTAATTATTATTCAGACAGCATGCTTGATGGCCCCTCTCTGTTTAAGTCTTCACCAATCCCCAGTGGCCTCTTTGTATTGAGGATACAGAGAGTTGCGCCTCATTGGTGGGCATGTGAATGAGAGCATGCTAAGACTCAGAGAGCCACAAACAGACAGACACTCTGGAGGATGCTTGAGTAACACACCGTGATCATGCCAGCTTGCCCACTATCACAATGACATCCAAGTATGGATATGGATCTTACTGTTTTGGGTTCAGTGTGGCTCAGATTAGTTGCATGTGTCTTGTTTCTTCTTCTACAGTGGACAGAAAGTAAGTAGCCCAACCTGTTGCTTAATGCAGTAATGACGTAATTGTTAGTCCACTTGTTGGATAGTGTTCTAGTGTCAAAGAGCAGAGATTTAGACATACTATATTGTTATTTTTGGTTGTTTTAGTAGAATTCATATACACAGTGTTCATTCAGTTGATTTTTAAAAATGTTAAAAAAAAGTCTTTCAAACACTTCATGATGGGTTTTACTTTGTGTGTGTGTGTGTGTGTGTGTGTGTGTGTG